TCCTCCAGTGAATGGTGAGACCCGCCGCCGACCTACCCGCCGGCTTGCGTGGGTTTCCCGAGCCATGTATCTCCCACCAGCGAGGAACTGCCCCAGTCGACACAAAGAGAGGATTGTTAACGTACCCCATGCCACAAATACAATTTTTAACATGCACCAATTTCACGTGATTCGAACCAAAAATCTTTGTAGCTGTATTTGTTCATGTACTGTAGATCATGAAGTCCTTCTGCCGCCAATCGCCAAAAATCCGACGCCGGTTATTGTTATGTTTTATTATTTATTGTGGAGAGGTGGTGGACTATGACAGGCGTAATGAAACAACGAAGTAAAATATTGGCACTTGGCAAGCCACCGAGGAGAATTTCATGCTTTTGGCAGTTTACGACTAGCAGCGACCTCATCACGTGCATTCCCATCTTTTGTCCTCACACACCGAGATACGACCGGCCCGCATCATTGCTCTGTCCGGGACCGAGGCTTGCTCTTTGCTCTGAAGTCTGGTGTCACTGGAGTCTTCCTCTCTGCTCTCCAACAGCGGCTTCAATAAGGCTCCGCTTTCAGCTTTACGGCTTCGTCCTCGAGTCAGTTCCTTCTGGACCACTAGCCCGCTAGTTCTGCGAATATCCTTTACTCGGTTATAAGTTTTTTATCGGGGTGCTGTCAGTGTTTTCTCCGAACATTATTTTTTATTGTCGCTACAACTGGCAGTATTACATCCGAAGATGCGTTGATATTAGGTTGTACTCTAAAATCTTATTAACTCATATTGAAATATTGATCTTAAGCCAGGAACATTACTCGATTCTCTTTATCGTTGTCACATTGAGATAATATTCTGCAACAGTGTTCAATAGGGTCTTCACCTTCCATTTCGGAAAAGAATTAAAGTTATAGGAATTTCAATAATAATGCCAGCGGGTCCGCTCATGGGCTCATTTCTAAAACCATTTGGATTCCATACGCTTATCGCACTTCGTTTGTTGGGCCTCCTCTACCAACAAACTCAACTCAAAAATCATTAGTTGCTCCACTAGCTCATTCTTCCATTTCTGTTTCGGAAGTCACCACAGAAACCGGATCTGCAGACATCACCTCCGACTCCCTCCCTCGTTGCCACTCCCCAGAGAGACTACTCCTTCCCTCCTCTTTTCTTCCAAAGTGAGCGTATACATTGTTTTGTGTTTTCCCTCCTTCCCGTCCCTGAGGTAGAGTTAAAAGTTTGGTTTAATACCACATAAGCTTCTCGTAAAAATTATGTAGCTAGTAATTATACCATCCCGCGGCTCCCGTTTTTTTGTTGTATTTGCCGAAGTAACTGAAGGGAAAAAGAGCTCAAGTTACAATGTAAATAATGGAAGGAGCGAGCGCTTTTTCCGCCCTCGCCCCTATTGCCGCCTACTACCCGCCCCTACCGTGCCTTCTGCCTCCTCGCCCCGCGCCGCCGCATCCTGTTCCGCTCGACCCCGCTGGAGTCGGTCGCCCCTCCCCCTCCGCCGTCGGCTGCCTTCTCGTCCCACGCTTCTCGAGCCGCGGCTTCTCCGCGCCGCCTTCCTTTCCCCTCCCGACTTTCTCCAGCTCGCATTCGCCTCCACTTCCTCCTTGCTACGCCTTCTCTGCCTCGGCCTCCCAGGCCTCGAGCGCCCGACGCCTCCAAACATCTTCGGACTCTTTAAAGTCGCTTCTCTCGACCATTTTCTGCAATTTCCCTTTCTTGAACCTACTCACACTAATCACACCTAGACAACCCATATTCTTTCTGACATTCACTCATTTGTTAGCTCATCCGCCCCAGCGCCGCGCCCCTAGTCATCCGCCTACCCATACCCACCCACCCCCCACCCACCTACCTACTACCCACCCATCCTCATTTATCGTCCGTCCGTCCGCTCATATATCCATACATGCATCCATCCATCTATCCGCCAACACATTCACCCATCTAACCCTCTCAATCCCTTCCCCCTCTTATCACCATCCACAACCACTCATTCTCCCCACCCACTCAATCTCCCACACCCCATCTCCCTCCCTGCCCACACACCATTAATCCATCCTCTCAATCACATTCCCACTGACTCACCCACTTCACCATTGTCACCCAGTCGCCCATTAAGTCACCCACTGAATCGGACACTCGTCCATCGTTTCCACCACTTGAGCATCCACTTGCACAGTCACACACACGCGCTCTATTTCCACCTACTCACCAAGGCTTACTGTCACGCACCTTACTCCTAACACGCATCGACTAAACCCTCACCATACACCTCACCCCACCGCGTAACTCACCTTCCGTTCTTCGTTTAATTAGCAGCACCGGAGGCCGCAGTCGGTTTTTAATTCTCTTCGCCCGAAGGTGGCGCGGCGGCGGAGGCAGCGGCGGCGGTCGCAACACGCCGCTTCCGAGCGGGTCCAACTTGTTTCAAATATTCCGTCGCAGAGCGCAAGAGCTTTGGGCTTAAAGAGCTCCCCAGCACGAGAAAGTCAACGGTACGACTCGGGGAGGGGGCTTGAGAAACGTCCCTGATGCCTAAAAACTTTACCGTGTGTAAAATTTTTAGTCCGTTGGAATGTTTCCGAATGTTAGCCTTTTTTCAGTCGTTTAACGGAAACAACCAAATAAAACTTCTATGGCGCTTCTGAGTTACAGTGTGTGGTACGATATCTTTCGGTGGTATCAGTACCAAATATTCTATATTATTTCTTTCAATGTAATGATTAAAGTTCAACAAAAATTAAAAACAACAACAACAACAACAACAGAATGAAGACAACACTCACGTGACCGAAAACCCTGACAGGTGGCAGAAAACTGAAAACAGTCCAACACAGGTCAATGGTTGAGAGCTTGTGACAAAAAAAATTGGGTGTTTAAACACCCAACCCCATTTTAATGTCATTAAAATTATGTGTTTTACTTTCAACAGATTTAATCAGAGCAAGAAATATCACATCTTAGGCCTACTACATTTCATTTAAAATACATTACGAAATAGGATTTAATGAAGTACTTAAATCGTTTTCAAAAAGAAAACTTGTTGTGTTTTAAACTTATAGAGTATCCTTGAAGAATTTGATCACGCATGGGACGCATTCGGATTTCGCGTCTTTGTTGTGCATTACATGTCATAACCTAACGGCGCCACTCACACATGTGAAGCCGCCATATGGTTATCAATAAATACGGGAGTGGTTTCGTTTGAGCGAATACGATTAGAAGAGAGCCCAAGACCCCCTTGCACCTGACTGTTATTCCCCTCAAATGGATTCGGGGGTAATAAGTTACCCTATGACTTTCGTTTTGTATTGGAGTTTTTGCTAGTGAAAAATTAGACGTGTGACATTTTGTGTACTCTCCTTTGAGGTTGGGGTTCGTCTGTCGCATGTGTTGTTGTTCGTTTGGCCGTTACGTAACGTAAATTAGAGGTACGTAGGGGTAACGAAATACCTCTGTGAGTGTTTGTAGGTATGTAAGTACGTCTCAATCCCCCTCCACACACACCAAAAAATAAAAATCCCTTACTTTGCACTCGTCCATGAAAATTGTCTTGATGTTCTCTACCACTCAGATAAGAGTATCAACTGGCGTACGAGAAAAGCAAGAATAATTCAATGATTGAAGTAAAGTGTGTGAGACTAAGGTCAGATAACAAAAGTACATGTAAAAATGCAGACTTCAAATGCAACAAACATATCTTCCAAAAACACGGATGAGACATGTGTTGTTCGTGGAATATCAACTCATTATAAGTGAAACAATTTGCTATTTACTTTAAATAATTATTAACTTTCATTATTTTCTATTATATGATTCTATACTGTAGAGTAACAGTTTACCTCACGTATTCATCTACTGGAGTAGCATTAATGTATCCTCTATAAGGTAAAGCTACTCCCACTGCAGCCGGCTCTAGATATTTCGCGTACCTTTTTCTACTGCATCTTGGGTGAACCTACTCCAAATGTAGTTTGAAATGAAGCAGTCGTGTAACTCGTGAATCCGTGTATGTGCTCAGCTGTAAGACACCTTCCGATCGGCGCGCGATCCAATCGCCCGGTGCGTCGCAGCGGGTGGCGAGCGCCGCTGTTTGCGCAGGTCAACGCCCAGCCTCCGTCCGCAAACGGAGGGCCCCGCGCGCAGATGTCGATAGAGTCGCACCTGCCCTATCGACCTGTTTGCGCGGATGTACTTGTAATGTGCTGGATGCGGAAAGTAGGCGACGCGGGAGTCGAAGGGCAGCGGCCCTGGGGCAGCGAGGTCAATGGTGCCCCGGCGCGTGCCAGTGCTAAGCCATGCACCCAGATGACAGGATGACAGATGACAGGAGTGATCTCGACTGACATGACACGAGGTTATCATCGCAACTAGTGTCGGGAACGGAGGCGTTTTTTTCCCTTAACTCTATATAAATTACATGTGATACATAATAACAGCAACGTTTCGGGTATTAATTATTTCCATAGTCAGTCTTAATCGCAAAACAAATAATTCTTAAAATATTTAATAGTTTCTAAGTATTAATTATATTAAGAATTATTTGTTTTTGCCACTAAGACTGACGTTGGAAATAATTTCCGAACTGTTGCTGTTATTATGTATTACTTGTAACTTGTGTAATCATATAAAGAGATGATTCTATTTCAATATTCTGTCTTTAAATTAAAGAGTAAATACAGTCTAATTTAGAAAAAAACTTTAACAGAAAAGTAAATAATAATCTTCTTGTACTCTGCAGTTATCGCACGCTGATTTTGCACTAATTTATTTTTTTCTTTTTAATATTTTTCATTTTAGGAATCACAAGTTTTCAGTTCATTGTTGTCGACTAGTCAAGAAACAGGAATCATGAGAAGGTACATTCTTTGACATTGGACATTTTAAGCGCAATTTTGCCGTGTTATTGACATATTTTAACAATACAAATTTGACGAGGCAGAAAAATTCTTTTTGCGGAATAAATTTCAACATTTTCAGTCATTCTGTATATTTCGTGGTGATGGGATGGTTGAAAAGTGAAGTGGCTGCAAGTGGTAAGGAATGCAAACTGAGTTGGAATGATGTGGGCAGAGATCGATCAGTGGAGGAGAATTTGGAAAATGACCTTCCAGCATTGCGGCGGAAGACGAGAATATAGGAAAAGTGCGAAGTGCAAAACCTCTGACAGGCCGACGCGGGGGATCCTCAGCCTACAAGATTATCCGGAGCGGAAATTTCGCGTCACATGTTGCCTTGTAAGCACGTTCAGACCTGCGCGGCAGGCGAGCGACGCGGCAGCGGGTTGACAGCGTTTAACCCAGCGGATTTTGTAACGCAGTCGGACGCGTTTCGACCGCTGCCGCTCGAGTTTCTCGGAAGTCCGGCCGCCTTCGGAAGTCTTCGCTCCCCTCTGGTGCGAGCATCCTTTCTCTTTGTTTATCGGATGAGGAAAACTGTCACCAAACGCCGAGTCATTACTGACGCTGCCATGTGAACGGTCCCGCGGATTTCGTCCGCCGCGTCTGGCGCGGAACTGTCCGC